GAGGGACTGTGCCAGCCAGGCTCACTTGGCAGAAGTGGCAGACTGCAGCAGAATGAAGGGTAGCGGGGAGAGATTCACTTTATCAGATCAAAAGATTACCTTGTCACTCCAAAATGTATTTATTTTTGCTTGCTAAGATGCAGACTCAAGTGGAACATGGGCTCCCTCTGTGTTGTTCCCTCTGTATGTTCAGCTTCTCAACTCTGAGGGTGAATTCACCACAGCCTTCTTTAGTCCACTTTAATCAAACTTCCAATTAATTTGGGGAGGTGTGAATGAGTATCTGAACTCTGATGCAGACCAAAAAACGAAAACGAAACCCTGGTACGCCTGGTCTTGGTTTGGTTGACGTGCACACGGATACCAAGTGGACTAGAAACTTCTCCAAAACAGACTACATCGCAGGGCATTCTGGGTAAAACAACCCTATGTGTCTAGCACCAGTGGGAGAAACGGCTAGTGGTCTTTTGTCTTCTAGACAAGAGAGAAATCAACTGCTAAAATCTGATGATGCTCCATTTTTGTTTGCATTTCATGAAGAAGAAAGTTGCTCTCAGTATGTTCTTCTTTAGAGGTTTTTGTCCCATTTTCTTCAGTGGTTCTTGATGCAGCGCCACCACAGGTGAGGAGGTGAACAGGTTTTCCAAAGGGTTTGGGTCACTTCACACAGTGCAGGCTGGAAGTGAACAACAGCTGAAAATGGAACAAATGCCATTTTGCCATTGTGGGCCCCATGTCTACCAGACTATGGTGATGTGAAAACACTACTAATCTACAATATTCTGATTAAGACATTATTTCTAATTATTCCTAATCAGTGCATGTCCTGGATTTTAACAATGATCTGTTAAAATCTAGAGGTTTTTTTCATGTTTCTATAAGATCTCAGGGAATCTTGAGCTAGTCTTGGATTAGTTGTGTTCCTGGTTTGGAACAGAAACCTGATCTGTATTTAAATGTTTTAGAGTGTTTGCTTCACTTGTTCTTTAATAATAGACCATATCTCATGTCTCATGTACTCATTCCAACTCCCCACTTCTTGTTGATCATTAACACCCTTTGCATATTTGGTGTTTGCTGTACTGTTGATCTTGTTCTTTGACAGATTGCCCTCTTCAGCATTTTTCCTGTAGAGTCGGTTTAAATGTCTTTAATCTGAAGTTTTAACTGTGATCTCATGAAGAATTTCCCCCTTCAGCTTGGGTTTGGATGCTCACTTACACACCCCAGTGGAACAAACACAATCACAGACATGTGATGGCGACGGCCCCCAATTGCATTTAAAAAAGTTCAAGAGGGACTTCTTTGAAATTGTTGTCTTTTTCTTTAGAAAGAAAAGCATGTGCTCTTTCGCTCTGGGGCTTGTTGGAGAAGGGACTGAAAGGCTGCTAATGGGAAGTAAGCCATAAACACTAAGCCATAAGCTATGTCACAAATTGCCTTTGATTGTGTCTTCATGGTTAAAAGGCAAAATAGGATTGGAATGTTTTTGCCCTTTAGTGGTAGACTGTGAAAGATTGCTCAAAGGACCAATGGGAGGTATTTTAGAGTTCCCACATTGTACTGAACACACGTGATTTTTCTTTTAACCCTATTGATGATGGTGCCATGGTTTTGTAAGTGTCTGATTACAGAACCATGGCTCAAAAGCGGCTTGATTGTGTGAATAAATCACAGGAACGTTAACTGGAAGAGAACTGTGGCTCTCCGGAAACCCGGTTCGTCCCTGGGTACAATTCCTAGATGCCTGATGGTGCCACATCCGTCTAATGGAACATTTTAGAGTTCCATTAGACATTTTGATCCCAGATGGTCAGTCGATCCTTCATCGTGTCAGATTGTAAAATCACAGAAAGGTAACGCACCTGGTCATGATGCAGCAGAACACTGTCAATCTCACATTGATTGCCAGAACACACAAACATTACACAAGACTGCGTCAACTTCGCATACTTCTAATGCATGCCAGGACTCGATGTTCCACCAAATCAAATTCATAGAATGACAGTAACTTGTGTAATATACTAATTAGACCCAATAATCTAACCTACGAACTCCAGCAAAAATGTTTATTTTCTTTCTGATTTTGAGTATCAGGGCAAATTTTAAATCGAGTTACTTTATAAAGGACCTGGTGATAAAAGAAGAGGTCGTTCCGTTCTGTTTTGCCACTCTGTGTGAACTTTGCCGTGGTCTTCAACATGATGCTTTAATTTACACTCTCACAAGAACTTTTCTTTAATCAGTCATTCACCATAGAAGTCCAAAGGAGCAACGGAATCTCTTTCAGACACATAATCCACAAAGGCTTTGCCTCACTTTACTAGTCAACTTTGATCTTATAAAACGGGGATTTGTATGTGAAAACCCATTTTTTTCTTTCATCACTTAAACTATGTGCAAGAGCCACAAAAAAGAAATGCTTCCTCACAAGGATACAAGCATTTAAACCCATGACTGTGATATTTTGTTGGTGGTGTAGCATAATAATGGACTGTAGGCTAACTAATGGATGCTAACCACAAACTTACTACAGGTTAAAACACCAAAGTCTCACCTCATAGTAATATTTAACTGTGTAACTATTTTTGTGACATCAGTTCATCAATGTTTCTGTTGATAGACGAGGTTAATAAACAAACAAAAAAAGAAGCATAACAACAGTCTATGCTTTCCACCGAAGCATAGATTCTTGCTCATAACTACTTTAGCATCACTGCAGTGCTGTGAACACACAGCCTGGATGTTCTGTTGAGGCGCTGCTCCGCTCTCTCAGAATGCCTCCAGGCTTTCTGTGAGCGGAAACAGAAATGAAAGGAGGGAGGCGATTACATTCGACTTCTGTCTGGCTTCAGCTCTCACGGTGAAGCGGGGACAAAAATAGAAACGTCAACCAGGAGGCTGACGCTCCATTTTTTTTTTTTTTTGCAGCAGGAAAACCACTGACAATGACAAAGCAAAACCCGGCCTCAGATATCTCCGTTGTGTAAGAAGACGCATTGACACACTTCCCAAAAATGCAGCACAACTGATTCATTGTGAATTAAGAACCAACATGCAGTTCATCAAACGGTCATGACCTCAGTAGCAGCCCATAAATGACGACTGTCTCATTTTTCTTGGATTAGCATAAGTAGGAGAAACATTTTTTAAAAAATTACAAAGACACAAATCTAAATGACTTTAGCATCAGTCATGAACTTTTATGTCACAGTTGGGTTACCTAAACAAAATCCTCTGATCTTCGCAGGTGCAAAACATACCAAGGCTTCAATATAGATGGAATCTGATTTGTTGAATTATTTATATTCTATGATCCTGCTCGGCTTGTGTCGTTTCTTTAAAAGGAACACAAACATTGTTCATTTCTTGTGAAAGGGTTAGGGGTTACCCCGAACCAAAGAACATTAGAGGTAAAAATGTCCTGCTTGGTTCTGATGTACAGATTCACTTCGTAGAAAATATGGAACCATTAATCACCTTCTTGGGTGATAACTCGGTAAGATTATGTTAGATGATCAAGAGCAGGAAGTGAAGAAAAAGGTGACCGAAATGAGCTAGTACTATGTATGGGCGATATGAACTTAAAGTGATGATAAGAACCATTAATTACCTGAAGTGTGATTTTGTCACTTAAATGCACACAATAACTGTATTTAATCATATTTTCAGATTTATTGCTTCATTGATACACTTTTTTTGACAAAACAGTAAAGAAAACTGAAAAATAACGATAAGGACAGTTTTAGTGGTCCTTAAACATCAGTTGCAATGTATTCTGTCAACAATAAATCAAAATCTAATCATGATAAGAAATTTATCACAATAAATGATAAACGGTATGATAAATGGCCATACTTCTAAAGCTTTACAGCATCTACAAAGAACAATCTGCATTGAAAAACGTTAGCTAAAGGTTTTCAGTAGGATGACTGATATATTGGCAATAACATCGGTATCGGCTGATATTAGTCATTTTTTAATATATGGCTGTCGGTCTGATGAATAAAACTATTTATTTCCATCTTGGTGCTGTTTGTTTCTGGACGGGGAGAGGATGAGGTTGGTTAGTGGGTTGGGTGTTTTTTTCTAAGTGTCAAAAGCATAGTGAAATGAATGTAATATATACAATATCAATAAATATCAGTTACCAGCCATAAGAGCCATTTTGGTCATGGATATTGATATTGGCCCACACTTCCCTCTTGGTGCATCCTTAGTTTTCAGGAACTTATTATCTTCTTGCGTGACGTGGAATCTTATGTTAACAAAGTAGAGAAGTTTGTTTAGCTCTTCTCTTCTGGTAGCCATATAGCACCGCGCACCAGGCTTGGTTAAGTTCTCAGTGAGAAAAGTAAAACCAGAATTAAACTGACAGTTTCCCAATGTTGGTTCAAGACCCACACCACCTCACTGCCTTTTTGCCAGCCAGTTCCGTTCTACACAGTTTTAATAACCTGCACCTTCTGCAGGATCACTCTTTGTCTTGAGGTTATCGGATAATAATAAAGCAGAAATGAAAAAACACATGAATCTGGCTGGTGTGCTTAATGTGCAGCCCTGACCTTGGAGAGTGTGGTCAAGAGCACTGATTCAATACAAATTGTTGAAACAAGAGCAGAAGGACAGGAAAGGAAAGGAGAGAAGCTAAGTAAACGGTGATGAATGATCCAAAATGTCCGTAAGGGATTGCAGTGCAAGGTCAAAACTCCTCGAGTTTTATTAAAGTATGCATGTAACAAGTGGCGTCCTACCGGAACATGTGCACATAGAATCCTGAACCAAACTCGTATTAAAGACTCCTTATCTCTCTTTTTATTTTCCCCTAAACTTTGGAGAATGCTGCAACACAGGCTGCAATTAGCGCTGAAACATCAAATCATCTTCTGAAAGTGAAGTGGTACTTTAATGTGGGGAATGCAGCTGAGCCTCCGGGACTGGCTTCAGAGGGAAAAATCAGAGAAATCTTGCCTCCCAGATTAGATTTCAGTAAAACAGACATGCGGAGAACAGTGTGTACCAGAACATGTGCGCCTGATGTTGATAGAGCCCTTAATGGAAAAAACCTGATACGAGCAAAGGTCACACATATTGTTTTTTGTTTTTTTTCTTCCGACATCCAGAACAAACTGGTTTGGAGCGTTTCGAGTCAGGGTGGAGGTGGAATGCGCACAGAAGCATACCTGCGGGTTGTCCTCCATGACACAGCGGATCTTCTCCACCACGTCGATGCGGCGCAGCCGGTGCAGGGCGTTGATCAGCTTGGCCAGGTTGGCCCCGCTGTCTCGGATGGTCCAGTGCTGCAGCGCGGCGTACGCTCGCTCGTGATCGGAGGAGTAGCCATTTGAGAAGGCGGCCACCTCACGTTCGGTGGCGTTGGCCAGAGACTGATAGATGTCCACCCACTGGTTGCCCACCTGGGCCGCCACCAACTTCAGGATGTCCACGCCTGAGCAGAAGCACATACAGATGGACACGTGTTGAAAGAATGACCCATTAATGGATGTAAAAGTTCCTACAATGACAATTTACTGGATCTTAAATGTGTAAGAAATACATGGCTGCTCTCTGTAAATGACCTACAAAGATAGAACAGGACAGAAAGTGGATTTGTGACAAGAGTTTCAGAACCAGCTGCCCATTGAAAACATCTAAACTGGCACTCTATCTTTTTGAAGGTCAGTGAACTGGTACAGAATTGTGTAATGTCTTCAATGAGACTGAGGCTGCTTTGTGGAGCCTGGAACAACCAGCCAAGTGACATCAGTCCATCTCAGCTTGGGCTGGGAGACAATTCATGAGTTTAGACAAGGGTACAAGACAGACATGCAGGGGTCAGAGTGAGTTATGTAACTCCATGCTTATATGTTTACATTATCTGAAGGTTGGTCTGCCAACTTTTCATAAAATGTGATAAAAATCACATATGGAGTACCGCAAGGTCCCATCCTGGGGTCCTTTCTATTTGATATATACAAGTTCACTCTATTTCAGATTATAGCATATCATAAAATAGGTTATCATAACCATGCAGATTATATACAGCCATGCATCTCAATGTCACCACGTGACGATTAACCCTTTGAAGCACTGAACAGATGCTTAGAACAAATAAATGTGTGGATGTGCCATAACTTTCTCCAGCTGAACAGAAACAAAAATGAAGTTATTGTCTTTGGAGTAAAAGGGAGCAATCAGGACTCTGATCTAGTGATCAGAATGAAATCTGGGCGTAGTGATGAACTCAGACCTCAACCTTCAGACTCACATAAAGACAGTAACAAAGTCGGCCTTCTATCACCAGAAAAACATTTTGTAGGATCAAAGGACTAATGTCTCAGCGAGAGCTAAAGAGATTCATCAATGTGTTTCACCTTAGTCACATTGATTACTGCAGCAGTGTTTTCACAGATCTGCGTAAAAAGGGTAAATTACAAATTAAGTTGCTCCAGAACACTGTTGCTCTAAAACTAGGAAAACAGCTCATCGCCCCAGTTCTAAAGTCCTTCCACTGGCTCCCTGGAGCTCAGAGAACAGACTTTAAAATACTTCTGCTGGTACATAAATCATCAAATCCGAATCAGAACCAAACATGGAGAACAACCATTAAGTTTTTATGCTCCTCTAATGTGGAGCAAACTTCCAGAAAATGACATAAATGCTGAAAACACAGAGTTCCTTTAAATCAAGCGTTGCCTTTGACTAGTAATAACTCAGACATCATTAATTTTAGTCTGTATTCCAACATTTCATTACTTTTCTTTATTATGCCTGTACCATGCTGTCATGTAAAGAGCACTTTGAATTGCCTGGTTGCTGAAATGTGCTACACAAATAAACTTGTCTTGGCACTTTAGTTCCAATAAATCTCACAATCTGCAAGTTTGAAACGCTGACTCAACAACGATTCAATTCACTTTTACATTTTGAGGAAGTCATTTAACGCCAACTCTAACTCAGCTTTTTGTTTTCATGCATCAGCTATTTATTTTGAATCGCAACATGGACAAGGGTATCCTGGTAGATTGCTGGTAAAACTGAGATATTTCTTCTATGGGTCATCCATACTCCAGTGTAAAATGCAACATTTTGCACCACAGAAGACGCGGCTTCAGCAGAAAGCTGTCAAACCACTTTTTCTTGCTTTCACAAGAAAAAAAAAGGGATCAATATTTTGATACACTGTTGTTTCAGTTGCGAAGAGAAAGACTGTGAGAACTGTTCAGCTGGACTTCTGACCATTTTGAGACATAGTTACCAGGATGAAAGCCTGGCATTCTCAGAACCAAGTCAAGGTTTATTAATTCGAAGCGCTTTTCACAAGAATGTGTTCTTTCTTCCTTGAGATCTCAACACGCGCCGTTACGGGAACCGAGGCCCGTTGACGGCAGAAACATGAGCTCATTGTGCTCCGTCTACAGCGAGCACATTAGGTCAAAGGTCGTATGCGGACGGATGAAAATAAGCTGTTCACGTGCTACGTGTGTGATTGTCTTTATTTAACGTAAGGAATGTCTCGTTTTGAAATGTGTGGCTTTGACAGAAAGGAGTGTTGTATTTGCTCCGTTGTTGTTATTCAACCAACCAGCAATGCAGAAAGTGGCAGAAACTAGACAAGTACAAGCAATTTCCCACCGTACGCAGAGGTTATCATTCCACTACGGTGATATCTAAGGTTCAACTCCCAGCAGAGTCCATAAGCTGTGTGTCCTCCCTGTCTCCGTCTTCCCCTTTGCTATCTACAAACTGTCAGATAAAAGCCGACTGAGTCCAAAAACCCTGAAACCTTTCTCCGTCTCCTCAGGTTGGAACTTCCTCAAAACCTGTCATCCAGGTGCTGGAAACACAAATTCTTGCTTATCTGAAGCTCCCTTTGTTTTATTTAACTTCGACATCTGGGTGGTTAGTTATTAGCCAAGATTACAGGGATTCTGTTAACCTTATTAAACAAAGACATATTTTCAGGTTAAGAAAATACATTTAAAGCTGCAGGATGTCACATTGATACAACATATTTTTTCACATATCTGTTGAAGCTGTAAATATGTCATGACAGAATGGCATGAGACAGATACTGTGTCTTATTCCATAAAATTGAGCTCCTCTGTCTGTGTGCGGTCTGGTACAGGAACGGGCCATCGCTAAATCATCCGACCAGAGAATAAAATTGTCTGAACTGAAATTGATATGCTGCCGGACAAAACGCAGCCACACACACACCCACCGTACTTGCACACCCTGAAAACAAACACTATGTTTCTGGCAACCACCAAACCCAGAGCTGGCCATTAGATTGCCAGACAGCACGTCTCCACGGTGCGTCGCACTTCCTGGTGCGGGGTTTAGATGTGGCTGCTCGCCTACGAGGAAGAAGAAATGCTGTGTATTCATTGAAAACACATTTCATCCAGAAAGGCTCAACACGGCACGGCGTTTCTCCAGTTTTGATGAGCATCAAGTTGATCCCTGATTACCGTCTGCGGCAGCAAACATGATAAGTGCATAAATCCAGGATGAGGCGCTCAGACTAGAGAGGAGAGATCAGACTGCTGTAAGCTCGTAGTCGTGACTCAGGGTGTGACACATATGAGGAATCACATGTATGTCCTAACTGTATGAACACAGAAATTAATGAACGCAAAAATCAAGAGGGAAGTCTTTATGTATATGTGAGGTATGTAAGTTTAGAGAGGCAACCAAAAAATACATCCAAGACTGTTTTTCCTCAGCTCAAATCTAGCTTTAGCATCAAGATTTAACCCAGGTTTAAGCTGTCACGGTCTTTTATGTGGCAAAACAAAAATATTCCAAGAAAAGGCCGTGGGTGGCAACAGGTGGTTTGTTCCTGGCTGTTTTTACACCAGATACTCATTGGACTCGCTTCGATTGGGGACCAGAATTGAACTGATTTCGGTTGCTGCTGTTCGTTTTCACACTGCACTGCGTCAAACAAGACAAAGACTTTAAAAAAGCTGTTCCACCTTCTGGCCTGTGGTGGCGCTGCACCAAAAACTACTGAAAAGAATGACCTCAGAACCTCTGAAGAAGACACAGAGTGCAACTTCATTCTTCACAAAATGTAAACAAAAATGGAGTGGCATCAGATTTTAGTGGTTGTAGGATTTCTCTTTTGTCATTAGTAAAAGATCACGAGCTATTTCTTGCGACCCGTGCTGGAGTTCCCTGTAACCGAACCGATACCGAGGTTTGTACCAGAGTTTACGTTTTTGGTCCACATCACAGTTCGATTGGACATTCATACCTCCCCAAACAAACAAACAAACAAACAAAAATTCATACCTAGGCAAACAAACTAAAGTTCGATTGGATTTGACCTGATTCTTTAAACATCATATGCCAGTTTTATCTTGCCAAACTGAAGACCCACATTAACCGATAATTTCTTACAACTCAGATGTAAGCAAAGTTCACTTAATCTGATTCCCAAAACGCTCAAAAACATTTTAGAAGAATCACCTTAAAACCAAATGAAATCACAACTGTTCCAAATATAAACATAAATTACAGATTTAGGTCCCAAACTAGCTAAACTATATTCCTGAGTTGTTGCAAAGAAGAAACAAAAATGCACAGAACTAATGATTTACAAGAATTCAACAATATCATCCGTTTTATTTGACCTCAATAAGCAGTGTATCTATGTCCCAGATGGCTTCAAGCTAAAGCACACACAGCAACACACACTCCACTACTTCTGCTCCAGATGATACTGCTGATATTTCATCGGGTCAGAGGAGCTCGCGTGCCGGCCTTTTGGGCAGAGAGCCTGTCGAGTCATATCTGCCTCACTGGCCTCCACACACTGCGGCAAAAAAGAAATCCCCCCCTGTTCCGCATACTTCACTAGCTACAGCAAGCTGGACTCATTTAAATGACCTATATAAGTCACGTGAAAATTCAGTGTGTCAGACTGCAGATGTGTTAGTTTGGTAAGTAGGAAAACTGAGTTTAGTTGAGGCTTGTGCTGAATAATGTGTTTGTGTGTTAACTGTATGGAGAATCTGCCGTTTACGGTGATAAATGGATGCCTAAATGGGACAACCTGAGTGATCCAATAGTGTGTCGACGAAGCAAATGTGATTTTCGCATGAGAAGCACTTAATTAGACAGATCTTGTCATATTTGTTGCACTGAATAACACATAGGTCTCAAGATCGACGCTTGACTCATAAATGTGCAAAAATGTTACTCATCCTACTTGGCGGTACACATTTTTTGGCTTTTGGCAGTAGCATCTGTTGTTTTCTTTCACAGTGGCATGAGCAGATAAGATGTTTCAGATTATTGTGATAGAAGATGCATCAAATCTCACTGGAGGTTTGGAAGAAAAACAGGTCGTCGAGGGCAAAGTGGACACAGAAACCTAACAGCAACAGCAAAAACGTCAGTGTGAGAGTCACTAAATGTGTTTCTATCAGTGCTGTTTAG